TTCTTCATGAATTACATGAAGTTAAAGATCATATATTTTTTTTTATTTTACTCATATTTTTTAGGAATTAGACTGCTGCTAATTTACAAGATTATAAATAGTTAAAATTATTTCTTAGAAAGTACATTTATATTGCAGTGTTAGGTCAAGGAACCCTCAAAACTAATTTCTTCAGAAATTCTCTATTAGGTTAAAGAATTATAGGCTCATAAAGAGTTTTAGACTCAGTAAAGGGTTAAGGTGAACTAATAAGAACTGTATTTCTGTACGTTACTGGTTAGTAATTATTAAGCTGCGAGGCAGTTTCACTTCCAGACTTTTGGTTTTAAACCACGAGGTGTCAGAGTCACCAAGGAGATTGTTTCCTTCTAGTTAGTTCATCATTGGTTTATTCAGAAAGTTGGCTTACAGCATGTTGACATTTTGAGTGTGTACATACATATATCATGCACTAATGAGGGATGAGAGCTGTATCATGAGAATAAAGGCTAGAGTTTGTTCCTTTGTCACTCCATCGGGAACTGTGTTTTGTAACTGACTAGGAACATGTGAGTTATGTCTTTCCATAGAATCTTTCTTACTTTTTACATTTTATTTTATTTATTTTTTTTTTCCAGTTCTTTTGGGCATATACCCAAAAGTGTAATTTTCCCCCCTCATTTTTTTTTAAATTTATTTATTTATTTATTTATTTAAAAATATATATTTTATTGATTTTTTACAGAGAGAAAGGGAGAGATACAGAGAGCTAGAAACGTCGATGAGAGAGAAACATCGACCAGCTGCCTCTTGCACAACCCCTACAGGGGATGTGCCCGCAACTCAGGTACATGCCCTTGACCGGAATCGAACCTGGTACCTTTCAGTCCGCAGACCGAAGCTCTACCACTGAGCCAAACCGGTTTCAGCCTCATTTTTTAAATTAAGGTATTATATGTGTACATACCTTACCAATCCCCACCCCATCCCCAACTTTTTACATTTTAATATTACAGGGAGAAAACTCCTTTCAGCAGAGGCCATAAATATTTTTCCTTCTGAGTATTTGGATGAATGTAGTTGTGTACTTTTTTAGATTGCCACCTTTCATAAAATGTAAAGTGCCAATTTGTTGTTTGACTTTTTACAATAAGCATTCTTAAATTTAAAAAGTAAAAAGAACAAGGCATTTTCTAATTATTACATCACCTCTAGTCCCACCATCCAAAGATAACCTTGTTAGTATCTTTTTATATTTCTTCGATGTCATTATTCTCTAATATATTTTTAAAAATAAAATTGGGATTATACCACATATAATTTTGCATTCTGCTTTTTTCACTTAACATGTATTTTTCACATAATTAAATATTTCAAAAATAAATTTTTAATAGGTAATACATTTCAAAAATTTAAAAATGACATAAAACAAACAAGCAAGGTGGAAGTCTTGCTTCCATCTCTGTTTTCATTCACCTTGTTCCCTTCAGTTTCTAATAAGTGACCATTAAGTTCTCTTATTCAAATGATAGCATTACTATATATAGTGATCTGTACCTTGCTTCCCTCCACCCCCCCATTAACAATGTATCTTGGGCCGCCGAAACCGGTTTGGCTCAATGGATAGAGCATCGGCTTGGGGACTGAAAGGTCCCGGGTTCGATTCCGGTCAAGGGCATGTACATTGGTTGCGGGCACATACCTGGTAGGGGGTGTGCAAGAGGCAGCTGGTTGATGTTTCTCTCTCATTGATGTTTCTGGCTCTCTGTCTCTCTCCCTTCCTCTCTGTAAAAAATCAAAATATATTTAAAAACACACACACACACAAACACACAAACAATGTATCTTGGAGGTCTATTGTTGTCAGTACCCAGAGAATCTTCTTTATGTAGATTAGTCATTTACCTACCTTTCAGAGAGGGGAGGGAGAGCGAGGGAGACATAGAAACATCCATGATAGAGAAACATCAACATTGGTTGGCTGCCTCCCACATTCCCCTGCTCAGTATTGAGCCTGCAAGTCGACTGGTTTCGAACTGGCAACATCTTGGTGCATGAGGCACTACTCAACCACTGAGCCATACTGGCTGGGCCATTTAATCCCTTTAAGATGGACACTTGGGTTGTCCCCAATTTTTGTTATTATAAACAATAAGAAAGAAGTAATTATTAAAGGCCAAATAGTAAGGATTTAATCTGCTTCAGTTATTAAAGGTCAGTTCTTTCCAGAATGCCAGCTAATGTAGAAATAATATTAGAAAATCTTCCCCCAAGTGAAACAGTTCAAGAAAAAAGCATTAATGACTGCTAAACCAGTAAGCAAAAGGTCGAGGAAGAACAGAATATTCACATGGTGCCAAATATTAGCCACAGATTATCATTGTAAAGGGAGAAATACACCTTTATTATGAGAGCTTTCTGGCTGCTACAAATCCAACCAAATAATCATGTTTTGCCAAGTGACCACATAAGTTACCAAGTCTGACTACGTGGGGCAGTCTAAGGATATGTGCCCCCCGATGTACTATACCAGGGTGTTTATATATAGCATCACCCGTGAAGCATTCTAAAAACAAACAAACCTAAATCTAATCAGTGTTTTTAAAAAATATATCTTATTAATTTTTTACAGAGAGGAAGGAAGAGGGAGAGAGAGTTTGAAACATTGATGAGAGAGAAACATCAATCAGCTGCCTTCTGCACATCCCCCACTGGGGATGTGCCCGCAACCAAGGTACATGCTCTTGACTGGAATCAAACCTGGGACCCGTGAGCAGGCCAACACTCTATCCACTAAGCCAAACCGGTTAGGGCTAATCAGTATTTTTTAGACCTAACCTGTTTACAGGAAATATAAGGGATAGGCAATTTTAAATGGCACTGTGAAGGAACAATTAAATAAAACTAGGATGTTAGACATTCTAGAAGTCAACTATCTTGGTCTTTTTTAAGCTTGTGTTATAACAACAACAACAACACACACACCAAAAAAACTTGTGTAAACATAAACAAAATCAACCAAAACAAACCTAAGGCCATATATAATAATTAAAGTGTAGTATGCTAATTAGATCAGATGTCCTTCCAGACCATCTTCTTGACAAAGTTGGGGCTGTGAGGGAAGCCTGGGTCCCGAGTGCCAGCAGCCAGGGGAAGGAAGGCTTACTCTTGCATGAATTTCATGCATTAGGCCTAGAATAAAAGAGACTAAAGAGACATGGCATCCAAATTCAATGTTTGAGTCTTGATTTAATTCTGGATTTAAAAAATAGCCAACTTATTTAAAAAAAATATTTTTATTGACTTTTTACATAGAGAAAGAGAGGGATAGAGAGTTAGAAACATTGATCAGCTGCCTCTTGCATGCTCCCTACTGGGGATGTGCCCACAACCAAGGTACATACCATTGACCTGAATCGAACCCGGGACCTTTCAGTCCGCAGGCCAATGCTCTATCCACTGAGCCAAACCGGTTTCTGCTAGCCAACTTATTAAAGGAATTTTAGGGGAAATTTTAATGAACACTGAGTATTACGTAGATAATTGGTGTGATAATGGTATTGTGGTTATGAAGCTAAATGTCCTTATTATTAGGAAATACATAACGGGGTATATAAGGTTAGAGTGTTTTTCAGGAAAAACAAACAAACAAACACATGTTGATGGAGTTAGATAAAGCAAATTTGACAAAGTATTAAAATTTCTTGAGTCTGCGTGGTGAATAGTGTATGTTTTACTGTTTTAAAAACTTTTTCTGTATATTTGAAATTTTCATAATAAAGTTGAAGAAAGTGCTGCAACAAATAACATACATATTATTTTAAAGCACCATTTTAATGTGCTGCATATTTCATTGTATAGAGGAAACACAGTTCTTTAATTTTTGCATATATATATATATTTTGCTGCTAGTTGATACCTTGGTAGCACTTTTATTTGTGACAATTTTATGTTCTTAGGAGTTGTGGATGAAAAAAAGGAACTGAAAATTTTTTCTCTCTGTCCTCTATTCTCTACTTTGGAACTTTAGTGGAGAAGAGAAAAATAGAGTGAGAAAGGTACTCCAAAGTAGTCTTCACGTACTTGCTTTTAGGTAGGAAATAGAATGGCAGTTACTACTAAGAGTAATACCGTAGGTAATAATAGCCTTTTCAAATCTGTTACCTGTTCTTTAGTTTGGAGATTGACCAAGTGAAAGGAGGGGTGCCAGCGACTAGGATAGCAGCATGGCACAGAAGAGTAATGTCTTATTTTTGATAAGCTTCTAGACCTTTTTATTAGTAGCAAAAGTTCTTCCTGTCCGATAAAATAAGAGTAGAATGGTCTGTTCTTTACATAAAAGGCTGAGCTACGGAGGATATGAGCAGAATTTAAGGAAGAAATATTTTTGGAAGAAAAGTTCTGGGGGAAGGATCATTTCTTAGAAAGTGTCATCCTATATAATAACAGCCTAATGTGCAAATTGTCCCCTCTACCTAGAGTTTAACTAGGGTATGGGGCTGGTGGCGGCAGCAGGTGCCCAGGGGAAGGGAGAGCCCCTGTCCAGCAGCTGCTAGAGACCCTAACCGTGCATTAATTTCATGCACTGGACCTTTAGTCTATGTATATGAAAGCCTACGTGACCTTTACACCAAATGACCAAACTATCGGTCGACCAGTCACTATGATGTGCACTGACTACCGGGGGCAGACGCTTAACACAGGAGCTGCCTCCTGGTGGTCATTGCGTTCCCACAGCGAACTTCCCATGGCCAGCCAATCTCTTCTGGTTTCTCCCCCAGTCCAGCAGGCCCGGTCCCACAGCTGGCAGGCCCTGGCTGGCCCAACCCCGATCAGATCTGGGCGAGTCAGCCCCCATAGACCCTGATTGCCGGCTAGGCCTAAGGAACCCCACCTATTCCGTGCACCGGCCTCTAGTTAAATATGAAAAGAATATTTTCCTCTTTGGGCTAGATTCGTATTTGCAATGGGAAGCTTCTCTGCAAAATACCTGATCTTTGACATTAATGTTCATACTTTAGATTTCCATGAAGACAACTTTCAAGGACCTTAATGGCCTCATTTTAGCTGCTTCAGCGGGTGGAGCTGTTGCTTGCTCCTTTTCTTCCTGTGCCTGGTGTTACAGTGGCTACTGAGCACCATGAAGGTTGTTCCAGAGAAAAATGCTGTCCGCATACTCTGGGGGCGAGAGCGGGGCACTCGGACCTTCGGAGCTCAGCGGCTTCTGCAGGAGCTCGTGGAAGATAAAACCCGGTGGATGAAATGGGAGGGCAAGGTAAGAAAAATGTGGGTTTTTTTTTGACATTGGATTTGTTCAGGGGTGACAGTAGAATGGGACCTTTGGTTGGATTAATGACATAGAGTTGGGATGTAATTTATTTTGTTTACTAGAAAAGATACACTATTTAATTTAGGAAGATTTTAAAAATATACATATATTTTAATTGATTTCAAAGAGGAAGGAAGAGGGAGAGAGATACAGAAACATCAATGATGAGAGAGAATCATTGATCGACTGCCCCTTGCTGGGGACCGAGCCCACAACCCATTCATGTGCCCTGACTGGGAATCAAACTGTGATCTCCTGGTTCAAAGATTGACACTCAATCACTGAGCTATACCAGCTGGGCAGGGAGGTTTTTAAAAAAATAAATAACTTTTTATTGATTTCAGAGAGGAAGGGAGAGAAGAAGGTAGAACGTCAATGATGAGAGAGAATCATCGATGAGCTGCCTCCTGCATGCCCCCTTCTGGGGATCAAACCCACAAACCCGGCATGTGCCCTTGACTGGAATTGAGCCCGGACCCCTATTGAGCCAAACCAGCTAGGGCCGGGCAGGGGAGTTTGGTAAAATAAATTTGGAAGAACTTATGGGCTAGAAGTACCTTTTTTCTTTACAGTTAGACATTTTTTATAAAGCTCATTTATATTTGTCTTTCTCAATTTGCAGCTTCATCATTATGTCCAGTTTGTAAATTTACATTGTAAATACTAATCTAGATAGGTTTGTGTATTTTTGAGGTAGAGTGGGCCATAGTTTATAAATAATGTTTTTAAACTTTTTTTGTCTGTTTCCCAGAGAGTAGAACTGCCTGATAGTCCACGCTCTACCTTCTTACTGGCCTTCAGCCCAGACAGGTATCTAGTACTTATCTATTACTTAAGACTTGTGATAGCATTGCTTTCTGTGTATTTGACCTAACTTAATCCTCCAAGTCAACCCCTAAAGGCTCTTTGAAGCACTGTATGAACAGAACATTGACAGTGTATCAGAAAGGGAAAGAAAGTAGATGAACAGTTCTAACCATAGAAATAATAGGAATAAGCAAAGAAAACTAATAACATCAAAGGACAAAACGTGGAAAGTTTTTCAATAATCATCCCTTGCATCTGCAATATAGGCCACCAATGGTGTGATAGTTTCCCGGCTAGAAAAAAATTTTCTCTGAAGAGGTTTTGTTCATTTGGAGACAATGTGGAGAATTCAGAAGCTTTTAAAGATCAGAATATTTCTGCTGTTTGTAATGCCCGAAGTGTAGTTTTTTTGTCCTGAGATGGGGAATAGTATCAATTTTCTGTGTCACCCAAAGCTGCTAGTTTGTTCCCCTCCCACATGCTTTCAGATTGACTTTGTACTCTGATTTCCTAGGACTCTCTTGGCCTCCACCCATGTGAACCATAATATCTATATTACGGAGGTGAAGACGGGCAAGTGTGTTCATTCTCTGATTGGACACCGTCGCACTCCATGGTGTGTCACTTTCCATCCCACCATCTCAGGCCTTATTGCTTCTGGCTGCCTGGATGGGGAGGTTAGGATTTGGGATTTACACGTAAGTATTTTGTCATCTTGTTTCAGAGACTTGTTTACTTTGGGTTCTTAATTCTGGAGGAGAGACTAGCCAGGTTCTTACCACTACATCCAAGTAAGTGGTAGTCTTTTCCCACTTAAATGTAGCAAGCCTAGCCTCCATTCTGTGATGAATGCCCTATTTAACTATTTTTCCATCCGACCATGCTCTAAGATGTGTTCAGGATGGATTTTTGTTGCCTTATAGCAAGGATTATACTGTACTCTGATCATGATCATCAAAGCAATATGCTCCTTGTCCTAGTGAGTGGCTAGTGGGTTATACACTATGTCATGCACCAAGCTTGAGTTTTCCCAGGCTTCAGAAACAGGAGCTTTACTGATGCTCATTGCTGGTAGCTTGTAGAAGACTTGGAGAACTGAGTTGACAGTAATATTTTTCTTTTCTTTAAAAAAAAATATATTTTATTGATTTTCCACAGAGAGGAAGGAAGAGGGATAGAGACCTAGAAATGTCGATGAGAGAGAAACATTGACCAGCTGCCTCCTGCACACCACCTGCCGGGGATGTACCCGCAACCAATGTACATGCCCTTGACTGGAATCGAACCTGGGACTTTTCAGTCCTCAGACCGATGCTCTATCTATTGAGCCAAACTGGTTTCGGCAGTAATATTTTTCTGGTAAATTGGTGACACTGCTTAATCACTGATTTTCTCCGTCGTTTTACAGAGGACATATTTAAAGTATGCCCTGCCATAGTAATTTTACCTTAAATATGGACCTTTTGAGAATTTGACATCTCAGTTTGCTGGCAGTTGGTAATAACCTGAGAATATTTGGGATTGATTTGTTCATAGGGTGGCAGTGAAAGCTGGTTCACAGATAGCAACAATGCCATTGCCTCTCTGGCTTTCCACCCTACGGCTCAGCTCCTTCTGATTGCCACTGCGAATGAGATCCACTTCTGGGACTGGAGCCGAAGGGAGCCCTTTGCTGTGGTGAAGACAGCTAGCGAGATGGAACGAGTCCGGTGAGTCCTCTGTCCACCAGTGATGTCTGGCATAGGATTAGCATGGTAGAGAACATTACACTTGGTTTCACCTTGAGAGACAGATTGTTATCCCTGTAGCTCCTTCTACCCTTTTTTTTTTTTTTAAAGAATTTTTATTGATTTTTAGAGAGAAGAAGAGAGAGAGAAACATCAATTGCTGCTTCCTGCATACCTCCTATTGGGGATAGAGCCTACAACCTGGGCATGTGCCCTAACTGGAAATTCGACCGGCACCCTTTTAGTGCACAGGTCCATGCCCAGCCAACAGACCACACTGGCCAGGGTGCTCCTCCTACCTTTTAAGCAGCTGGCCAGTAAGCTGGGAAGTAGTTAATTTTGTTTATTTCAGCTGTTCATTATTGGCCTATCTTCTGGTCTTTGAAAACGGGTCATTAGAATCTTTTTTGATAGGTTCAGAGCTGTCTGGGTTTGGAAGAGCCCCCTTTTTTGAGAAATCTGAAAGGTATTCAGGTTGTGGGAAGCTTGATGGATAATTGCTTATCCCTAGATATCTATGTTTATCAAACTGCAAGAGGGAGATGTAAGTATGCATCAAATATGCCACTTGATATTTGTTGAGCCCTCAAAATGAAAACACGCATTGCCTGAATTAAAGCTGATGCAGTTTTCCTTTGGTTCTCTTGGTATTAGAGTTGGATATAAGCTAGTCTAGTCTAACTTATAGACTCTGTAAGTTACTCTGAAACTGTTCATTGTCACCAGAACTCATGCTTCTTGCCAGTGTAGCTACCATATGAGGGAGGAACTGAACTTGTGGTAGAGTACAGGAGCATTTTATGCTTTGCTATTATGATGAGCTCGTATATATGAGCAAATGTGTGCTTAATATAGCTGCTTCTTGGAATGGAAGTCTAGGTATTTTTCGTAATTATTTTGTGATGCAAATCCCTTATTTTGGCAAGTATAAGGAGATAACAAGAAGTATTAAACTTTATTATTTTAATCTCTTTGAAAGTTTTGCAAGTCTCTAGGGTGAAGTGGGTACCTAAGTAATCTGACATTACAGTATTGATTGCTATAAGTTTATACACATGTTTCCTTTTCTCAGCATAATCTCTGTGCATGTCTGTCTCTTTCTTCTTCTGTTTTCAGTCTGGTGAGATTTGATCCTCTTGGACACTACTTACTTACAGCAATTGTTAACCCCTCTAATCAGCAGGTAAGTTAGTCAGCATTCCAACTCCATCTAAATTATGGCTTATTTTCTAAACTAGTGTTCTAATTCTGATTGTATTAGACTTTAATTTTCAATGCCCAAGTGTTTCTCTCCAGTCAGTATTCAAAACTAGTTTCAGATTGTATACAGAGTTATAGCCATAATCATAACAGGGTATCAATTCCGAAACCTAAGTGATTCCATCATTAGAAGTAACAAGGCAGTATTGGATAGATTGTCATTCATGTGCCTCTGGCTGGTTAACATTTTGCTTTCCCTCACTGCCTCTGTGTTATGAAGATGTCTTTTTTAAGAGAATTGGTTTGCCAGCTGTACTCATTCAGAAAAGTTGCTAATTGGAAGGGAATACTTTAATACCATATGATGATTCTGAATCTGAAGCCAGTTCTCAGCACTTCAGAGGTGGAGTTGTTGCTTGTCTGTGAAATTTTTCTTGGATGATTATCAATAATTTTCTTGATTTACCTGGAGGTTCTACCTAACTGTCTTGCTCTGCCTTCATCCCACCTTGGTCCATGCTGCAGGGTGATGATGAACCAGAGATCCCCATAGATGGAACAGAATTATCTCACTACCGACAGCGAGCCCTCCTGCAATCACAGCCAGTTCGTCGGACGCCTCTCCTCCACAATTTCCTGCACATGCTGTCCTCTCGCTCCTCTGGCATCCAGGTGGGAGAGCAAAGCACAGTGCAAGAGCCTGCTACCCCCTCACCCCTACCGCCTCCCCCTCAGCCCTCCATGGAGCGCCCCAGGACTTCCGCTTACATCAGGCTCCGACAGCGGGTCAGTTACCCCACAGCTGAGTGCTGCCAGCACCTTGGGATCCTGTGCCTTTGCAGCCGCTGCTCTGGCACTCGAGTTCCTTCCCTCTTGCCACACCAGGACAGTGTTCCCCCTGCTTCTGCCAGGGCTACTACCCCTTCCTTTTCTTTTGTGCAGACCGAGCCCTTCCATCCCCCGGAGCAGGCCTCATCAACGCAGCAGGACCAGGGCCTCCTGAACCGGCCGTCTGCCTTCAGTACAGTCCAGAGCAGCACTGCCGGCAACACGCTCCGCAACCTCAGCCTGGGTCCCACCCGTCGCTCCTTGGGAGGCCCTTTGTCTAGCCACGCTTCTAGGTATCACCGAGAAATCGCTTCCGGTCTGACAGGATCTGAATGGACCCGGACAGTGCTCAATCTGAACTCCCGCTCTGAGGCGGAATCCATGCCCCCGCCCAGGACCAGTGCCTCTTCGGTGACTTTGCTGTCTGTACTGAGGCAGCAGGAAGGTGGCTCTCAAGCATCTGTGTACACTTCAGCCACAGAAGGGAGGGGTTTTCCAGCTTCAGGGTTGGCAACTGAGTCGGATGGAGGGAATGGCTCCAGCCAAAACAACTCAGGCAGCATTCGCCATGATCTTCCATGTGACCTGAGACGCTTCTTTTTGGAGTATGACCGGCTTCAGGAGCTGGACCAGAGCCTGAATGGGGAACCCCCCCAGACCCAACAGGCCCAGGAAATGCTCAATAATAACATTGAATCTGAGAGGCCAGGCCCCTCCCACCAGCCCACCCCACACAGCAGTGAGAATAACTCCAACCTGTCCCGTGGTCATCTGAATCACTGTCGTGCTTGCCACAATCTGCTAACCTTTAACAACGATACCCTGCGTTGGGAAAGAACCACACCTAACTACTCCTCTGGCGAGACCAGCTCCTCCTGGCAGGTCTCCAGTACTTTTGAGGGCATGCCATCGAGTGGCAGCCAATTACCACCTCTTGAGCGGACTGAGGGCCATGCGCCCAGCTCCAGCAGGCTGGAGTTGAGCAGCTCTGCTAGTCCGCAGGAGGAGAGAACTGTGGGCGTGGCCTTCAATCAGGAGACAGGCCACTGGGAAAGAATTTACACCCAGTCCAGCAGAACTGGAACTGTATCACAGGAGGCCTTACATCAGGATATGCCTGAGGAAAGCTCTGAGGAAGATTCACTCAGGAGGTAAGCAGGTGCTTCCTGTCCTCTCACATCCCTTACTTTTCTCCTTATATCTCTTCCTTTAGTCTTACAGCTGTTGTGGCTGGATCTGGAGTGTCTGACACCCATGCATTTGGTTCGGCTCTCCCTGCTTCCATTGCATCTTCTTGGAAAGTCTTGTTCTGTTGGCGGAGGGAAGATAGGGCCTAGCGATATGAGTCAGTTGGCTCTGCTAGCTCCTTTTCTGATTAAGCTCTTGTGACCTTTAACCTTAAAGAAGAGTGTAGATTAGGTTAGAGGACCATGAGGAGTTGAAGAGGAGATAGAACCATTGACATCCTCTGCCTTTTTTTACCTTCTTGAAGGATTGTATATTCAGAGCTAGTTATTGTGAAACAAGAAAATGTCCCAGTATGTCTAGAAATTAGTAGTAAAAGAGAACCCTGCTTGGGACAGATTAGTATATTGGCTCTTCTTGTGTTGCTTTGTGTTCATCTCTTAAATCTTATCTTTTGGAGCAATGCAGCTTGATAGAAAGGAAAATAATATATATTTTGAAGATAGTTCATAATTTTTGAATAAATATGTTTTTTGGACAGCAAGTTATTAGTTAAGATTTTTTGAGTAATCTTCCAGATGGATATAACCTTGGGGTGGGGAAAAAGAAGAATGCATAGATGGAAGGGTTCTCCATACTCATATCAGCATGTCAGGCAGCTGTTTTATGGAAGAACTGAGTGGGTATCCATATGTTCAAATGTGGCTGTGTGTGTATCTATCTTGATTTATTAGGGTCTTCTTTTTTTGCAGTTCTGTAAAGGTCAAATCTAGTGTAATCACCAACTATCAGAATCTGCCTTTTGGATCCAAGCAGCATATTGCTCTGCATTATATCCTCTGTTTAAGCCACTGAAATTTCTCTGACATAAGGTTCTAGCAAGGGAGGGAATATGTATTGTGCATATAATGTACTTGTTATTTTGGGAGGATGCTTCAGAGAGTTAATAAGGATTTGTTGAATGGTTACAGTTGTTCCAGAACTGTCCTAGGCACTGTGGGGAACCCAAAAGAAGCAAATATCCGGTTTTTGACCACTGGGAGTATACATTGTTATTGTAGTGGCAAGACTTATTTACATGCAAGCATATTAAAAAATGTAGAGAACGGAATGCTTTATTGTATGTTACTGAGATTAAATGTAGTTTTAATTTCAGAAAAAGGGAAGAAACAAAGAAAGCTTTACAAAATCAAGTCTTGAAAGATGGTGGGATTTAGAGAGAGAGAGAACTTTATTTTAGGGGAACAGTCCATACTAGGGGAGGAAGGACATGATGTATGCAAGACAGTAGGTGGTTCTTAAAGGGAACAGGGAAACTTGGTTGGACATTAAAAAAAAAAATAGAGGTTGTTGCTATGCCCCTGTGATTGAGGCCAGTTCTGAATTAACATTTCCAAAATTCCGGCTTTGGAATATTTTACCTTACATCTGGAGCCTTAGATTCTGTTCTTCCTCTTTGTCAGGAGAGCTGAGAAGGTAGCAAGCACAGTTCCTGACGTATAGAAGGCATTCAAAAAGTTTATTAAAGGTAGCCACAAAGGGACTGTCTTCATATACTGCTTTGAAAGCCTACCAGTGCACGTTTCCATAGCAACAATGGGCTTCTGCTCAGCCTTTGTCCACCCTCTTCCAACAGGACCTTTTTATTGTTGTTCTGAGAAATACCTAAGTGGTTTAAAAAGAAATACCTGACTGGCTTAAAGTAAACTCTGCTATTAGATAATAGAGATATCAGTTACTGAGGGCCTACTATGTGTTAGGTACCATGTTCTTGCTTTGCATGAATTATTTCTATTTCCCAAAACAACTTTGTGCAAGGCAGGTATTAAATTTCCCATCTTACAGTTGAAGAAAGTGAGGCTTAGGGGAGTTCAGTGTCTTGTTAAAGGTCCCATAATAGGTCAAGTAGGGATTTGATCTCTGGTTTGATGACTAAAGATTTTTCCAAGCTGCCCTCCATGATATATTCCTAATGGGATAACCTCATTTTTAGGCAAACCATTTATTTATTTATTTTCCTTTCTCTTAACTTTTTATTATGAAAATATTTAAACATATAAAAATGAAAAGTATAATAAACATGATTTCAAAACATTAATATTTGGCAGCCTTCTTTGATTTTTGTCCCCTATCCAATCCTCCACGTAGATGCTATATAATTTTGTCTGAAAATAATCCAACGTGTTTCTCTAGAGAAATGCTATCCAAGAAAACTTTCTAAATGATGAGATATTCTATATATGTGCTGTTCAGGACAGTAGCCACTAGCCAAATGTGGATTCTGTTCTTCCTCTTTGTCAGGAGAGCTGAGAAGTTAGTAAGCACAGTTCCTGGCATATAGAAGCCATTCAAAAAGTTTGAAATGCAGCTAATGTTATCTGAGGATCTTCATTTAAATTTTAAAAATTTAATTTAAATGTAAGTAGCCATATGTGACTGAAATATTAATGATTACTTCTTAATAAAGCAGGCCGATTTAAAATCCAGAAACCGGCCCAACCAGTGTTGCTCAGTTGGATAAGCATTGTCCCAGGCACCAAGAGGTCAACGAATTGATTCCCAGTCAGGGCACATGCCAGCTTGTGGGTATACAGGAGGTAGCTGATCGATGTTTTCATCTCAGGGATGTTCCTATCTCTCCTCCCCCCCCCCCTCTCTCTAAAAAATCAATTAAAAACCCATTTAAATAAGTAAATAAAATCCAGAAACAGCCCTTGCTGGGTGGCTCAGTTGGTTAGAGCATCGTCCTGTACACCCAAAAGGTTTGGGTTCGATTCCCAGTCAGGACACATACCTGGGTCACTGGCCTGATCTCTAGGCAGACATATGCAGGAGGCAAATGATTGATGTATTTCTCTCTAAAATCAATAAAAACATATCCTCGGGTGGGGATTTAAAAAATAAAATAAAATCCAGAAACTATTGAGGATCTACCAAAAATTTTTGTAGAGAAAAAGTACTATGTTTGTGGTTTAAATAAAGTTCTACCCTGTTTCCCCGAAAATAAGACAGTGTCTTATATTAATTTTTGCTCCCAAAGATGCGCTAGGTCTTATTTTCAGGGGATGTCTTATTTTTCCATGAAGAAGAATACGGTACACATTTATTGTTAAATGAAAATAAAGGAAATTTATTACCTGTATACGGTACGGTAGTACGGTAGTTGTCAACACAAACCAGACAAACTGTGAATCCTACAGTATCAAGAATTTACTCATTTATTCAATGACAATCATGTCATCATCTTCTGGAACATCATAACAATCCAGTTCCTGAATTTCCTGGTGAAATTCTTATGACTCCATTTCTTTCAGAATCAGTGGACCAAATCTCTCATGGTTAGCAATAGCACTGTCTTTAAATGAGTACTTCTTGTCAAGGTAGCCTGCTCGCAGTACATTTGCAATGTAACTGTCAATGATTTTCTCCCATGAATTCTTCACCCAAGTCACAACTTCTGCATTTTAGGTTTCACAAAGTTTACGGTAAATTAATTTTCATTCTGAGACAGAGCCTTGGGGGGGGGGCTTTTTTTCGGGGGGATGCCTTATATTTCACTCAGAAGGAAACCTGTAAGTAGGTCTTATTTTCGGAGGATGTTTTATTTTTGGGGAAACACGGTAGCATTTAAAAATGTATATTGTAGAAAATGAAGTCCCTTGTCATCTTGTAAACAATTTTACATATATGCTTTAAAAAATCGAAAATTTTAGAAATGCATGGTTATTGTAAAATTGTATATTAATACTGTTAGTTACATTATTTAAGGAGTCACTTTTAGATGAGCTAAGATGAGATATACCATGAATGCTGATATTCTACTAAAAAATGAGGTATATTTTAAAATTTGTAAGTGTACATCCTTTATAGAAGGGCCACCACTTCTTCATAAATTGAGTGGCTACATTCTAGTATAAGTCACTAAGACAAACAGGTGCTAATTGGCGTCTTCTACTTTTAAAGAGCTGTGACATTTTTGAGCTGATTATCACAGTACATTACAAACCCTTGCTTGATTTCCCCAGCAGGTGTCAGTGTTGGGCTGCTGCTACCACTAGTCCAGAATGGTAGGGGGGTAAAGAAGGTGTACACAGACTACTTGAAGGGAGAGGTTTATTCTCTGGTCTTGTAGTTGGGGGAGAGACTAAAGAGGCTTGTTTTGATCCTTGATGTCTCTGATTGAATTAATATTGTTGCAAATAGTTTGAATATTAAGCAGTAGAGTGTATTTTAGTGTAGATCTATGTTGCAAAGACCCATGAGACATGTGGCCCTGCCGGTACCAAGTTTGACATTCTTGTCAGGGATCCCAGTTAGGGAAGTTCACTGTTAAATCCCAACAATTGAGAGATCAAAATTGGACTGTCTTCCCCAAATAAATTGTTTTTCCACTATTTTTCTTGATAGGGAATGCCTAAGGCCTTAGGTCTAAAGTGTTTAAGATTGAGTGTATTTTGAGAACTGTTGTCTTTGATTTTTACCTTTCCCTTATGACCAATGAAGATTGGGGAAGACATTGGTTATAGCATAAAATTTGGCCTAAAACATCGAAGGTTAGAGTTGGAAGCCCTCATTGATATCTAAGGGTTTTTTCTTGTTGTGTGTGTGTGTGTGTGTGTGTGTGTGTGTGTGTGTTTAAAGACTTTTGTAAGGGGATTGCTTTGGAATTTGGAGCAATCTGAAGCCTTTTGAAGCTTCATAGGTCCACTAATTTGTTTGATCCTTTAGCTCTGCTCACATGGGGATGCTCCAGGGAACTTTTAGCAGAAATATCATTGATAGAAATAAATGGATATGTCTGCAGGGCTAGTTGTAAGTTCACAGAGGGAGAAGGAATCAGAAATTAGGAAGATACCAGTTTTCTCAGCTTGATTATAATACAGAGAGGGACCCAATTTGAATATTTTTATTGTTGTTAATCTAACCTGAGAATATTTTCCATTGGGAGAGAGAGAGAGAAACATCA